GCCCTTCGGAGATGCCAAGCTTTCCTTTTTCCTTGAGCCTGTTCCACTGTCATGGCAGATCATGGCAGGGATAGCGCGTTCGCTGACCCTGACAGGGCCATGCCCTGGCCTTGCTTCAGCGAGTGGTTACGTCCCGTCCCCCCCGGCAGATGGTGCGGGGTGTCAGGGCGCCGAGCCATGACTCTACGGGGGTAGACGGGGAAATAACTATACACCCGTTATTGGAGATGATGTGAGTTCTTCCTTGGATTGTAGCGGTTGTCGTATGCCTATGTTAGTATCCACGTTCGAGGGCTGAAGGCGGCGCCTACTACACTGTGGGGCAAAAGTCGGCGCCTACTACACTATTCATGCACTGTTATGTCGGAAAGGGCTTAAAGCGCCCGTCCCGTCGTATCATGACGGTACCTTCCTCCAGGCGTGCAGGGCATGGTCCTCGGTACTGCGGTTGACTCGAATGTCCTGTCGCACCCTGCGCTTATCAACGTGGAGGAGCAGGGTGCAGTCGTCGGGCGAGGCGGAGCCAGCCCTCGAGGCGGAGTCTAGCCCTCGGGCGTCGGGCGAGGCGGAGCCAACCCTTAGCCGTTAGGCGAGGTGGAGCCAACCCTTAGCCGTTAGGCGAGGCGGAGTCTGCTCTCGGGCGTCGGGCAAGGCGGAGCCAGCCCTCAGCCATCGGGCGAGGCGTAGTCTAGCCCTCGGGGGTCGGGCGAGGCGGAGCCAGCCCTCAGCGGTCGGGCGAGGCGTAGTCTAGCCCTCGAGGGTCGGGCGAGGTGGAGCCAGCTCTCAGCCGTCGGACAAGGCGGAGCCAGCCCTCAGAGATAGGGCGAGGCGGAACTGATCTTCCGTCGTTCGGGCAAGAAGCGTAGTGGCGTTCTTGTCTGACCGGAAGTGTCGACGTTCAATGGTTATTATTCCACCTCATTAGGTACCCCGGTATTAGGTCCCCGACACACGCCTCGACGTGACCTATGGCCACGACAAGCCACTCCCGGAAGATCACATCGCCAACAGTGACGGGTGCGAGGTCACTGCGCTGCATACTCCTCGTATGACCGCTGACCAGCACGTCGGTTCGCCGCATCGTCCACCGGGACGGGATGGGACGCTACGACCAGCTGATGACGCCGGGACATGGCACCAGTGGTGAACAGGAGCCCGGCGTGGAGCCGTCCCTGTCACCATCTACAACGTCGGTAGGACTCGCATAAAGGAGAAGAAGGACCCAACGGTCCGAGATGCCTTCTACTCCCTCGCTTTTCTCTTTCTTTCTCTCTGTAACCGGCGCCTTCCTCTTCCCCTATAAAATGGAAACCGGACTCCCCAACGGGGGGAGACGAAAAAAGAACACACACTATTGACTTACGAACTTCTCTCTCGCCCGTTTATAACCCCTACTATAAACTTTTAGTGCCGGTAATACGAGCAGCACCGAACTGGACGTAGGGACATTCAATATAAACCTGTATAAACTCTTGTGTCTTCCGAGCACACCATCCAAGCCAGACGCGCAATGTAGAAATTTACTAGTTTGTGACTCAAAACACCGACAATATTACTCCAGCTAACACTAATCTAATGATACTTAGTATTATAAATGTTAGTAACTTCTTTTTAATAAAATTTGGTTGAATCTGAAACTACACTGAAAAGTAAGATGGAGGGAGTATTACTCTACACCTACAGGTTGGCCTGCCAAGCAAAGCATCGGAAGCCTGGTGGCCTTCCCTGAGCTAGGCAAAAATCCGTGCATCCTACCTTACCATTACCACCACTCGATTGCATTGCACAAAGGCTTTGAGGAAACTGGAAGTTGGATTGACAGCCCTGGATTCAGTTGGGCAGTTGGCTACCAGATTGTTCAGTTCAGTTCAGGTCTCCATCCTCCTCCGTCCACCTCCACTACTTCTCTCCCAGTTCAGGTCTTTTTCCGCAGCCACAGGCCACAGCCGCCGAGTCTCTCTTCTTATCTCATCTAAAGAATGGCTGGCGTCTACCACCGCCCATCATCGGCATCGGATCGTTCTGAAGTTGAGCTCAGGATAGGCCGCCGATTCTTTCGGATTGGCTGCCTGCGACGGCAGTCCGGTCATCCAGGTCACATCTCGCCTGAATCTCAACCATTTTCCCATACTACTGTGAGAAAAATAGCAATCCTTTATGTTTCGCACAAACAGAATTACTGCGCTATCACACACAACGGGTTCGAGGAGGAGAGAATTTCCTTCGATGCTATTCACTTTCCTTATGTATTATTGAAAATTTTCACTTCCTTTTGTGTCATTGGTATATAAATCGGATCCAAGCATATTCGGCACGAACAGCTTAGTGGACAGGGTCTGCACAGCAAAACGCAAATCTGAAAGTCGGCTCGATATGTTTATTCTAATTATATTTTACACTGAAAACTATGTGTGTGGCCCGAAAAAACAGTCCAGATGCACGACGTGAAACGTTCATGGTCCCATGGACATGATATTTTTCGTCAAAAGAAATGAAACCGGCTTTATCTGGACAATCCTAGACCAAGAAATAGTTAGTTCTAGTTCCGAATTTTGTTCTCTTCTATGCTACTACCACTACCTAGATTAGATAAGATCACCATTAGAGTTTTGATTCTTGACAATTGTTTTAAGAAACTTCAGGGGCTTACCATTACTCCTCGCAAACACGTTGTTTTATGGGGCAGTACGTTTTTTATCACCTCCTTCACTAGAGTACCAAAACTACTATCCATATCAATCCTAACACGTGGACACCACATGATAGTGGATACCTCATTTATTTCTTCTTTTCGCCTTTGCCTCACCTCCTCGTTATCTCTATTCTCTTTTCTCTCGTCGCTCCTCCATACTACCATTGCGCCGCCTCATCATCTATTCCCCTCCCTCTTTTCTCCTTTTGGATTTGCTCCTTCCTTGGCTTGCAGATTGCAGATCTCATGCGGGCAAATGTGGATGGAGGTGGCGGTGAGCCGTGGCCATCGTCGTCGATCTCCACCCAGATTAAGGAGCAGGCGAGCATAGTGAATCTAGGTGGAGATCCACCTCCACGTCATCAAGGTATGTCGCGGTCCTCAATCTCCACCTCGTTGTGCTATGGGTCAAGGCAGATGAAGGAGTAGGTGCGCATGGTGAATTTGTGCGGAGATCTGTCTCTACACCGTCGAGGTATAGGCCACCGTCCTCGATCTCCACCTTGTTGTGCCGTGGGTTGAGGCAGATGAAGGAGCGGGCAGGCATGGTGAATCTAGGCGGAGATCCGCCTCACGCCGTCGAGGCATGTCCCCATCCTCAATCTTCACCGCATCATGTTGTGGGTCAAGGCAGATGAAGGAGCACGCGAGCATGGTGAATCTAGGCGAAGATCCGCCTCCACACCATCGAGGTATGCCGGCGTCCTCGATCCCCACCTTGACGTGTTGTGGCCTGTGGGTCGAGGTAGATGAAGGAGGAGACGGGCATGGTGAATCTAGGCGGAGATCCGCCTCCACGCCATCGAGGTATGTCGCTGTCGTCGATCTCAATCTCATCGTGTTGTGGGTCAAGGCAGATGAAGGAATAGGCGGGTGGGCATGGTGAATCTAAGCGGAGATCTGCCTCCGCGCCGTCGAGGTATACCGCCGTCCTAAATTTCCATCTCATCGTGTTGTGGGTCAAGGCCGATGAAGGAACGGGTAGACGGGCACAGTGAATCTAGGCGGAGATCCGTCTCCATGTTGTTGAGGTATGTTGTTGTCCTCGATTTTCACCTCGTTGTGTTATGGGTTGAGGTCGATGAAAAAACATATGGGCATGATGAATCTAGGTAGAGACCCGCCTCCTCACCTTTGAGGTATGCACCAAGCTCCTCTTCCCAATCCTCTCTTTTTTAAAAAAAAAAAATCTTCCCTCATCCTCTTTTCTCTAGTGTCTCCCTTCTCTTTTTTTCCCTTTGCCTCCAATCCCCGTTATTCTCTCTCTCTCTCTCTCTCTCTCTCTCTCTCTCTTCCACTTCACCATACTTTCTCTTCTATCTTTTGGCATCTCACCTCTCCTTCCCTCATCATGGAAATCTACCAGGAGGTGGTGGATGGGGCAGGGTTATGTACGAGGGCTGACAGAGCGAGTCTGTGACCTCATCCTCGTCCTCCACCTCGTTGTGCGGTGGGTCGAGCCAGATGACAGGGGAGGTGGGCATGGGAGATATGGACAGGATTTGCCTGCCAAGCTCCTCTTCTTCTTCCTCATTCCTTTCTCTTCATTTTCTCTCCTAGGTCCACGCTCAACGTGAAATGTGGTTGTGGTTGCGCCAAAAAAAAATGGAGATTGAGGATCGCAGTCCACGATTGGAAAGGAGGGTGGTTTTATTGGTAGAGCTTTTGCTGATCCGCTAGAGTTGCTCTAGTCTAGTGGTTGTTGCTCTGACCTTAGTTGACTAACACGCTCGAGTTACATTTGAGGCCCTACTACCCTAGAACGATGGATCAAAGAAAGGGTTGGGACTCTGCTATTGGAAGTAGCCATCCATGCTGGCAGAGTGGCAGAAGGGTGGACGAAAAAATGAGACCAGGATACCCTGGCCATCAGTCCAAAAATGGCATAGAAGGGAGTGGGAATCTGAATCAATGGACCAGAACCGAAGCAGACTTCCCCCGAAGACCATTCCTATTTTCTAATTCTACTGAAGGGATTCTCCCAAAAACGAAGAGACAGCAGAAATTGCACTGAAAACACAAGGGGGCCCCTATAGATCACCATATCGCAGCTCACACATTGTGTTAACCACAGGAGTCAAAACCAGGTGAATTACACACAGCACTACTCTACACGAACGCCACCACTCAACTGTGCACCTTGTCTTTCTTTCTTTCTTCTTCTCGACTGGCATGCATGCATGAACTGACCCTATACCAACCAAGCACTACAAACGGTGGAACTATTACCACCGTCTCTATGAACAGCTACTGTACTTACAGCACCAGAGCAGAGCCACTCCCGCCTCCTCAGAGGTCCTTCACGATCTCAGGCTTTCCAGCCCCGCCACACGATGTTCTGGCAGCCGAACCCGAACTCCCGGAGCCTCCTCCCCAGCGAGCCTTTCTTGGCGCGCTTGGTGCCCGGCTCCGAGGCCGAGCCGCGGTAGTGCAGCAGCGGGGGCTGCGGCGGGCCGGTCCCGACGCTGTCCACGATCTTCTGGACCATGTCATACACTTCGCTCATCTTGGGGCGGGACTTGGGCATCCGGACCAGGCACCGGTTCGCGACTTTGGACAGCTTTGTCATGGACTTGAGGTTGTAGTGCCCTTCCAGCCGTGGGTCGACAATGATGGGGAACCGCTTCACGTCAGATATGTACGGCTTCACCCAGTCTAGAAGCTTCTGCTCGCTCTTTGGACGGTTCTTGTCGATGGGGCGGCGGCCTGTGATGAGCTCGTACAGAAGGACACCATAGCTCCATATGTCGCTCTTCGCAGTGAGGCGTCCAGTCTGCATGTACTCTGGAGCTGCATAGCCTTGAGTTCCAACGACCTGTTCAAAATGAAACATAACAACAGGATGATAGTTAGATGGATGTTAACTTCAGACTGCTCTAGGAACCAACTAGTGAAATGGTATGGAGAGGACATAAACGTAAAACTATCAATGGCAAATAGTTATGGTAGCTGGTAACTTGGCAAAAGCAATCTTTAATAATGTGCTGCTCTATTTGTTATCAAGAGGTGTACCATATCTTTCAAGTCCAATGAGCAATGAAATCCTACTTTCCTGCTCTTTTTGGCTGCAGAAAACTCTTTTTTAAATATATAATCCGTAGGGGGGCAACCCCTCCTGTTTCCTAAAAAACTTGGAACAAACAGTTTAAAATTGAATTATCGTAACCTATGATTACAAAAAAAGAGGTGACTTCTGTAACAACCAATCCCCCCCCCCCCCCCAGGCGAGTAATTTGCCTAGAACACAGTGACATGCTACATTCTGAAGCTGGTCGAGAAATGAATATACTTGCAATGTTTTCAAGTAACCGAACCTCTCTATTACTTCAATTCCATTCTCAAATTTTTTGACTCTGTTCTTCATGTCTGGTACAGAAACTAAATATATGCATTAAGAGGTTACTTGTGCAAGTAGTAAACAAAAATAATTCGTATCCAATTTCATTGGCACAAAAAGTCAACAATGTTATAGAATTACAGCTCAAAGAGCTTACTAGTTGCCTATTTTTCTTCATCATAATTATCTTTTGTTCAAGTAATAACACATTTCATCACTTGAATACTGTCAGGATACCAGTACCTACTTACCAAAAGGATACAAAACACTATTCAATCAAAACACACTAATGTAATAAACTAACTGTCGGCTTGTAATTGTGCATACCGCTGTGGAGACATGGGTCAGACCTTCTGCTGGTCCATGCCTAGCCAAACCAAAGTCTGACAATTTAGCATCCCAGTTTTCATCCAACAAAATGTTAGATGTTTTCAGGTCTCGGAAAATAACCTGCATGAATATCTTAAATTTAGAGGGTAGATATAACTTATGGAACAGTTAAAGCATACTGCAGCATTTGGTATTTCATTTATTCCTTGTGCGAGGTACAGATGCAGAGGGATGCTATTGTCCCACAGATGTTTCAGATTGTGCAAGTGTTATGGTCTCCATGATCATAAAGTAAATGAGTTACCTGGAATTCCATTTCTTCATGCAGATACTTCAGTCCCCGGGCAGAATCAAGAGCTACTTTTAGTCTCATTGGCCATGACAGAGTAGAAGTTGACCTACTCGACAAGTGATCATCCACACTTCCATTAGGCATATATTCATACACTAGAAGCCGTTGCATTCCCCTCTCATCATCATCAGCACAGTAGCCTATTAGTTTAACTAGGTTTGGATGGTCCACAATTCCAAGCACATTCATCTCTGTTAACCACTCCTTCTGTCCCTGGAGAAAGACCATATTTTATTAGAATCAATACAGGAAGCTAAACCTAGATTCCAGCATACGTGACTTCAAAATGACTCATCAAGCATGTGGGATTGAAAGGATTTCGAGGTATGCTTGGCTTTATATTTTGTCTACTAGCGTTTTCTACTTTTCTATATGGCAACTAGTTGACTCACTAAGCCTAGAACAATGAGCATGGAAAATGGAACTGTAAATGCAAGAAAAGTAAAATAAATTACTGTGCATTCCCTGAAGCAGGTGGACCTACTTAATGGTTTCTTTCCTGAAGAAATGATGACTGAAAATTTTTGGTTTATTTCCGCTATGCTGAGTTTGACTATCCATAGCTAGGTCCAAATAAGACTGCTGGTTCTACAGAATGACGATGACAACAATAGCATTTGTATGTAGCTATAATTTAATAACTTTAAGAACATTCAACAGTAACCAGACTAGCTTGCTAGTTTTAAATGGTAGGGAACGAAAAGATGGTGAGAACTGGCAAAAACTACGGCAGCTTGTGTTGTAAACTCTAATTATTTTCTACCTGATACAAAGATACGCTGCTCTCATACATATTCTCTGGGGAAAAAAAATAAAAGATGGTGAGAAACACTTGCCTGAAGTCCTTTACGATTCAACTGCTTAACAGCAATCTCAATTCGTTCACTCGGTTCGTCAGAGGTCTTGATGACACCCCTGTACACACAGCCAAAGCCACCCTCGCCAACCATGAGAGACCGGCTGAAGTTGCGGGTGGCACTCTTCAATTCAGCAAAGGAGAACACCCTCAGGTTAGACGGGCGGTCAGTGAAGCTGGGGTACTGCGTCCTCCTTATCGACTCGGCGCTCATGTCTGAGACATTCAAGGAGGTGAAGTCTGAACCGGAGCGGACATCGCGATCTGTTGATGTTGTGCTCATGGACCGTACAGAGGCCGACTTAGTGACATGATCCTTCTCTTTGGCGTCTCCATGCAAGAAAGGCAGGCACCTCATTGCTGCAATGCAGTGGGAATCAATTAGTGCTTCCCCTCATAAAACACAAATGCAGATTACATAATTGGGGTCATGCAAAATAATGTTTCGGCAACAGGTGGTGCGGGACAAGAACAGGCAACCAAGTTCAGATTTTTTTTTTCAGATGGTAAAATGCTTGGAATTTTTTAGATGCAGCAAGTGGAGATAAATTGACATGATTACTAGTACTCCGCAAACGAATGGAAGCTGAAGTGAGAACCTAATTGGCTCTGTAGGCAGCGACCATGGCTGTTCAACTGTAACAGATTTGAAAAAAAAAGTGGGGAGAGCCTTTAATCAGTACAAAGCCCAAAGAAACCTCAAATTCAGACAGCGCCGGGCCAAAAACCATGCCTTTAATTTGGACTGAAATAGCAGAATCTATGCGCAAGAGTTCTGCAACCGTGACGAGGAGAGCAGCGCAAGACAGCAGGTACGAGGGGAGCGCAATAGCATCAGTCATGAAACAACCCTAAGACTAAGAATCAAACCAGGAATTACGAACAACCTTAAATCCCACCGAATCAACCTTAATTAACCCCAAGCCTGGAACCGGCGCTTGATCTCCACGAAAACCGGTGAGAACGGACAGGACACGACGAAGCATAAGAAGAACTAGAGCAGGAAGCATGGAAAAAAAGAGAGGCCTTTACAGCAGCAACACACCTGCCTATCTTGCGGCGTCGGGGCTGATCGATCCGGGGGGAGTGGAGACGCCCGGCCCGGCGGTGTCCCGTGGACGGAGGGGAGCTCCGATCCGGGACGCGACGGGGGGAGACAGGGACTCAGGGACAGGGAGCACACGGCGGCAGCAGCAGCAGCAACGGCGGTCAAAGCTGGGAGCTTGTCTGAAACGGGAAGAAAGGTGGCTTTCTCCTCCGCTCCTCCGCTCTGCCTCTCCTCCTGCGAGGCTGAGGCTCGGGCTCCGCAGTGTCACCAACCAAGAAGCTGCGAAGCAAAGACCATTCCTTCTGTTTTATAATATACTTATATCAGAGTGTTTGTTTACGCTCAGATTTTCTTTTCCCTCCGCGAACGCAGCACGCAGGTGAGAAGACGACGGGCGGACGGGGCGAGGACGGAGGAAGGAGGAGGAAGAATTCCTTCCTGGTCGTCACGTCACGGGGAGTAGAGATGAGGGTGACGGGAGGAGCACGAGGGCAGGGAGGTCAGCAGAGGTGGGAGATGGATCGCCGGACGCGACAAATTTATTGCAGTCCGCTCTATCTGTCCGCGCCGCGCAGGCAGCAGCACGAGAGAGAGAGCAGCCAGCGTTGCAGTGTCACTGCTGCTTTTCGAATTTCTTTGGCATTTCTTTTTGGCATGTTTCTGTAGGAAGGCTGCCTACCTTTTTTGGTTGTTGAGAAAAAAGCTGAGTATAAAAAATGTTTTCTTTGTGGGGGCAGCGTCAGGAATTAACCAACTGCTCCAACTAACAACGTCTTTGCCACGCCCTTCAAAGCGACCGTTTACACGAAACCACACGACAGCCCATGGCAACATGGCATGAGTGGATCTGCACACAGTTATGTACAAACCCTAAACATAACCTTTTTTTTTTGAAACTACCCTAAACATAGCTTGGTGAGGCACAAAAGGAAACAGTTCACCGGAGTTTTATCACGGATGTATGGCCATAAGATGCTTGAAATGTACTCGATCTATCCCAAATCATAAGACGTTTGACTTTTTTAACACCAAGTTTGACCACTCGTCTTATTGAAAAATTTGTGTAAAATATCACTTCTTTCGTCGTGGTTTGGTTTATTAATAAAAATTCTTTAAGAATGACTTAAATTTGACTATATTTGCATAAATTTTTTGAATAAGACGAGTGGTCAAACTTGGGGCAAAAAAGTCAAACGTCTTACAATTTGGGATAGAGTAGTACTAGAGTAGTAGCACGTGGGATTCTAAATATAAGGGGTGCTTGGTTTCTCCTCCTAAATTTTAGTCGCTGGCCCATCGAATGTTTGGACACATGTATGGAGTAAATATAGACTAATTATGAAACTAATTGCACAACTTGCGACTAATTTGCGAGATGAATCTTTTAAGCCTAATTAGTTCATGATTTGACAATGTATTGCTACAGTAAATATGTTCTAATGACAAATCAATGAGCCTTAATATATTCGTCTCGTGGAGTACTGACGGATTCTATAATTTATTTTTTTATTAGTATCCAAATACTCCATGTGACATCCTCACGTAACACCTCCTAAATTTTAATCACCGGATCTAAACACCCCTTTAGATGGAGCCCTGCCAACATGGCGATTTCGTCACCCGCTCCTAGTGAAAATCAAGTCAGTTGATTCACCCTTTTTGCGCTGACCGACAAGGGAAACTTGCTCTCTGACTCCACATCAGTTGTGCCCAACCCCGCAGCCAAACACGCCCCGAGGACGTCCCATCAAGCTAGCGACTTAAGGCCCCGTTCTTTCGCTGAAAAAACAAGTCGAAACACTGTTCCGGTTGATTTGTTGTAAGAGAAAATACTTTTTCGGCTGAAAAAACAAGCTAAAAAGTACGAATTATAAGACAAGCGAACAAGCCTTAGCTAGCTGAAGTTGAGTTGAGAGAAGAAGCAAATGTATTTAACACATGGAGCTAGCCGCCATAGTTTGATGCAAGCCGCCAAACCGAATACTAGTCAGTCTGTTCGTTTGTCAGCCAGGGTTTATCAGTTAGTCAACAATGTTTTTCTCTCATATCAAATCAACATCAGCTGTGCTTATCAGCTAGAAACCAACCAGCGAACATGCTGACTGCATCACCCTTTCTGAGTCAGATGTGGGTCTGCCGCACGCGTAGGCTGTTGCCCCACCGCCTGCAAAGGCACCAGATCCGAGGAAACTAGAGGAAAGAAGAACGTGGAGAGGGGGGAAAAAATCTCTGCATGCGTGATGCAGAAACTCTCACGTGCAACACTGTTTTGCTGCCGCCCTATTTCTCAACTTGATGAAGTGCTCTGTTCAGCGGAAAGATAGGGCGGGGCAGCCGAGACCAAGCAGGCGGCATGCAACCATGCACGACGCTGGCCAACAGATTAAAGACCAGACGACATACGATCGGTGTTGCACGGGATGTTTTCTGCATCACGAGTGCAGAGTATTTTTTTTCTTGGAGAGGGGACTTGCCTTGCCGTCATCGTCATTATATCTACACGGACCTCCTGCAACATGAGCATCTCTTCAAAAGATTAGCTAAAAAGACTAGCTAAATTTACTAATTTAGCTACTCTATAAAATAGATTTGACAAAAAAATATCAGAGTACTCCAACAGACTTTGTAAAACCAAGAGGTTGACTAGCCTAGTGAGGTAGGCTATCAAAAATTAGAGAGCGAATGAGGTGAGATTGAGAGCTACTAAATTTGGATAGTCATTGGAGACATTTTTTCTTTAATAATAGCCAAATTTACGTTTAGAAAACGATTTAGCTCATCTCTTGAAGATGCTCTTAGACGACAAGGTCTTAGGATAAGCTTACTGGTTACATAGATAGGCCTCTGGACATCGTCTCTCTATCCTCAGAGTAAATTAAAACAACATTTATTTTTAGATGCAGTTTTATAAGATTTATCGATGTAATGGCGGATAGTGGCGTGTGCCAACTGCCAAGGTACGAGAATGAGATGGGGGTGATGATTGTGGTCTCGTGGCAGATGTTGGAGTGCACCTAACTAGTAATCCGTATAGATCCATCCATCATTCCAACTTATCATATATCAAGTATATAGATTCATACACACTGACTTTATTTTAAAAACTAAAAAATATCCCAGGCACCAACTGATGACAGCTAATTAAGCTTTCTATGTAAGATAACTCTATTGTCAAACACTTGAGAGAAGGTCCAGGCATGCATTAGATCTATTGTCAAACACTATTGCTGCTTCCCCCTTATAGGTTATTAGTAAACGGTCCTTTCCGTTTACGTTCAGAAACACTACTACTTTAATCCTCTGACCACGGCAAACGCCCTGTTCGCTTGATCGCATCAGCCATGCTTATCAGCCATGATATAATATTTTTCTCTCACAACAAAACAGCATCAGCCGGCTTATAAGTTATAGAAACGAAGCGAACATGTGAAAATATATAGACGGAGATAACTTTGATAAATAAGCAGGTAGAGAATAAGGAATGATCTGTTGTCAAATACAGTAAGTACTAGTCTGGCCTACTACTTTTTTTTAAGAAAAAGAAAATGTGATGAGCTAGGAGGCAATCGTGCTGCAGTTCAGCCTGGGCATTCAGTTAACCAAAACCGATCGGTTCGGTTCTTCGGTTTTATAGTAAATTCGGTTACCTAGAAACTGCTAACCGATTGGTTCTTTTGAAAAGTGAGAACCGAGCAATTCGGTTTTGGTTCTTTTCGGTTCGGTTTCAAATTATCAAATGATTCTAAATTGAACATCAAAATACATAGATCGAACCAAATTCATAGAAGATGTAGATCGGAGATAACTTTGATAAATAAGCAGGTAGAGGAGCGCCTTGCAGTTGGGCCAAGGAGAATGATCTGTTGTCAAATACAGTAAGTACTAGTCTGGCCTACTACTTTTTTTTTTCAGAAAAAGAAAATGTGATGAGCTAGGAGGCAATCGTGCTGCAGTTGTCACGAATTTATTTTCTTGGTCGCAGGTGTCGTCGCCTCGCCCTTGATCTTTTCTCCAAAAAAATAATATCTTAAAAAAAATACTAGTAATACCATAATCTGGCCTCTGTAAGACATGATCCGCGTAGAATCCCTAGTTATATTTGGTTTGGTGCATTGCTTTTCGTTTTTTGTTCTAATCACTTCCTCACGAATTTATTTTCTTGGTACAGTGTAAATGTCATTTTTCTCCAAAAAATAATATCTTTACTAGTTACCATAATCTGCCTCTGGACATGATCAGTTTTTAAAATTTTGTTTATGCTTCTAATCAATTTAATACATCAAGTCGTTTTACTATTTTTATGCCGGGGA